AATCGTCCATTACTGCTCCACACAAATTTTAAAGTAAAAAAAAGAAGGTCGCCTGGCAGCCGTGTGGCCACACCAAACCGTCTGTATGTATTTTGCCCACAAAAGAAATTTAAAAGAATGGTTACGTGTGGTTCAACCGTCTGACCCTCCATGTGTCCGCACATCATTTATATTTCATGGGGTCATCTGCGTGTTGCTGCTCCCCTCAGCCCTCTCATCGGCGTGTGAGTGCGGCCCGCAGAGCACAGTCACTCGTGTGTGTGTGGGGACTGAGAGAAGCACGCAGACATGACGGGAGTCGCGTCACTCCATCGGGAGAGTGAGCGCAGCAAAAGAAAAAGAAATCATCGGAGGGGAGAGAAATGCTCACGAGGCCGACACCGAAGGGTGCGCCACCGCATGAAATAAACACGCAAAGCAAAACAAATCCTTAAAGAAAAACACGGCGGCAGGGTGTGGCTGTGTGTGTGGCGCTGCGGGTGTCTGCCCGCCCTGGCCGCAAAGAAAACAAAACAAGAGGGAAAGAAATGTGTGCTCCGCCCCACAGGCCCTCGTCGCACGCCCACACGTCACGGCTCCCTCAGCGCGCCGTTCGTCGCGGCCCCTCCTCATGCGTGCAGCAGGCGAGGCGCACAGGGCCGTCGTCATGAGCGTGTCGGTGGGTGTGCGAGTGGAGCAGTTGGGCGGGAAAACACGGCACCCCTCACAGGAAGAGTGCAGCAACAAACAATTGAAAGAGGGAAGAGTAGAAAAGAAAAGAACGTCCATAGTGATTGCCCCAAAAAGCAAAAAGAGGGAATGAGGGAAATGAGAGAAAAGAAACAATAAAAAGTAAAAACAAAAACAAAACGCACAAAAAACAGGGAATAAAATAAATGCTATTTGAGAAGGGAAATAAATTATCACGTGTATTTTTTGTGCTCGGGAGGTCGCAAGTGTCCCACGCGGCAGCCAGTCACTCCTCACAGAGCCGAAAACACCCACAATCCCAACAGAAGAAGCAGCGATGGCAGCAGTCCGCTCCCACGCACAGTGCCGGCATCGCTGTTATTCCCCAGCGACAAATTTCCAAGGCTGCTGCTGAGCGCCGCAGCCCTTACTTCGCCGTCCTGTGCATGGATGTCCTCCCGTTTCTGCCCATCCGTCCCTCCCACCATCTCCCCATTCTCACCAGAGCGCGCACCAACCTCAGTTGTATCTGCGGGGTCAACTTGAGCCACGTTCGTAGCGGTAGGAGCGTTTGGATCTGCTGTGTCGGGGGTATCCACAGGAGTTTGGGGTGGTGTGTCTCCCTGCACCGCACCTCCAGTTTCCGCTCCCACCGTTGGATCACCATCGGATGGAGAAGCGACATCCACATTTTTGTTTCCACCGGAAGATGTTCCTGAAGGCAGCTGAATTACGGATTGCTCTTTTCCTAAGGAAGTCGTTACAGTGGACGGTGCTGATGTGGACGTGCTGCCACCGCCCGCACCCTCATTTTCATTCAACAATTTAGGCCCCGACGGCGGTTTCCCGGCAGAAGAGGACTGCGACAGGGTTCCCTGGGCATTGTCAGATACCACAGGTGGAATGAGGACTTTATTCGGGTTGAGGGCGCCAATCTCCGCAGTACTCAACGGGCGGTTGTACAGCAGGACTTTCGTCACGGTCACAGACACGTCTTGGACCTCTGTGCCGCCTGCACTGCGTTCGCCCCCTCCAATGTAGAAGTGGGAGATCTCTTTTGAATCCTTATTCTCCAATTCACATGCTTCATTCCCACCCACACGCTCACCATCAACGTACACGGAGCCCTGGTTGCCATTCTGTAGCATAAGCACCACCTGATGTGTTGTATCTTTCTCCCAAGTGCTGCTGTGCTCCTTGATCGGCCCGCCACTACACAGCACCTTCCACTTCTTTTCTTTGTCGTACAAAAGTTCAAAAATTTTTTTTTCTCTTTCACCGTCCGGACGCGCACCCATCAAAGTGACGCTGCCACTCGTCGGCACCTTGTCGATGGACACCGTCGCCACAAGAGTGAAGTTGTAGTTCGCAAAGTGGTACAGCTGATTCTCCCCTTGCTCGCCAATAGGCCACTCCGCCCACGCTCCCTGGAACTTCACACCACTATCCACCTGCTCCGCCCCATCATCATTCCCCTTTACCGTGACGTTCACCCCGAGGTACTCGTCCCTCCATGTGTTATCAGAGAAGTTGCCGGATAAAAAGCCAACCAGCCCATCCGTGATCTTATCAGTAGGGCTGCAGGCATTTTCAGGTGAGGTACTCTCCATATCACTTTCAGAAGAGCACAGCTTGGAGACAATGTCGTCCACTTTCTTCCACGTCGCCAGCACATCCTTCACACGCTGCAGCTGCTCAGTCAGAACCACGGAGACCACACCGGATGATTGACTGTACCCATCGTCCTTCTTCTTCTCGTACAGCGCAATCAACTCATCCTTATTATTATTATTAGTTCCACTTTTGTACAGCAGGGAGCTGGCGGCAGCGTCATCATCGGATACCGGCCCAATACCAACAATGTGCGTATTGTCCGTCAGCCAAAGATGGAGTTCACTCTTTCCAATGTCTTTTTTACTGTCCCCCTCGGAATACACCGGCAGAGTGACGAGCATCACATTTCTCTTATCTTCAACACCGTCAATCGTTGCTGTGATGAACCCGCTTCTAACGGCCTTCACTTCTTTCCCCGTTTGTTGCCCCACACGCGCGAGAGTGTCCCGAGTGCCTCCGTCCACGACTCCCCCTTGTCACCGGACTCGTACACCCTGCGGCGGCCATCATCACACGCAGTCATCATGATGAGTTTTTTGTCCTTCCACTCCACGACGGAGGGATCACTGCAGCCACCGTCAGACATCCCCTTCGATAGCGTCCAACTCTTAGTGCTACTCGAGGTGTATATGAGCAGCGATACGGCCTTTTCATCCTTTTGTGGTTCACTCTTCTTCGTGCCTTGCACAGGGAACAGGAGCGTACCGTCATTCATCTTAACACCCGATCCACCGCCGCCAATCATCCCTGTCCACGAATCTAGTTCGCCAACAGGAATCCGCGAGACATCGTCATTATCTTTCCATTTGATTCTTTTGCCACCGCCACTTTCATCAGCACTAACTTCCCCTTTCAACAGCAAAAATCCCCCGTCACCGGCACCTCTATTCTCACCAGTAGCTGTCTGGCTGTATTTTCCAACAAGCATGTAAATATCATTTCCCTCAACAACTGTTGTTGGTCGGCTCACATCCACTTTCTTCCTTGAGTCTTCGGAAGTTCCTTCCTCCAGAAATTGTGTCTCTTTCTCTTCATTCAGAGCCTCCACCGGTGTGTTAGCAGTTTGTTTCGGGAGAATTTGCGATGCAATGCCAGTGAAAATGTTGCTTTCACCGTTCTTTTTGCACTGCGCCTCGGCAACGGCAAGTACGTCAGCCCCAACTTTTAGAAGGCCGGGAGCACCCAACGACTCCACAGTTACACCCTCCTCATCCTTGACGTCCTTCCATTTATAATTTGGACCAGATGACTGCTCATCAGCTTCCGCAGCACCACCAGCGTTGCAGCACATCATCACAACAATGAGGAGGAGCAGCACCGCAGAGCAGAAGAGGTGCCGGGACATGTTGGGCCTCTGCGGCTCACTCTCTCTTCCTTCCCTCCTCCTTCCGCTGGATCCGGTCACGCGGCGACGGTTGTGTGTGCGGGGTGCCTTCACAGCAGCAAAACGTGAGAGCACATAAATATGTGTGTGTGCTGTTGGTCCTTTCAGAGCCTTACAATTTCACGGTAGCGATTAGCGCTTGTTTTCCTTCTTCGTCTGTGATTGGGAAAGAAATAGAAAAGGAAACACGCCAAGAAAAGGAATAAAACAGTGAGCACGGCCGCCCCTCCACAGTGAGTGGCACCATCATCCCCGCCGCAACTCCCAACAACAACAACTCGTGCACACAGACACACGGAACAAGAGATGGATGAACAGTGCACCGGGAATACACAGCGACTGCCACCAGCACCAGGAGCCACGGCGGGTGCGTCGTTATTCGTCACATGTCGGCAGACACCGAACGACGCCCACGCAAAAAAAAAAAAACAACCAGCGAGATGCAAAAAAGCACAACCGCCTCTCGAAGCACCCATGCGCTGCCGCCAGTTGTATTGCTGTTGTCTCTACAGCGCACCCGCACATCACTCCGCACGCCGGAAAATCCCTCGTCAACGAATACACAGCGGCAGTGACACGTCGGCAGGTACAGCTTTTGGACGCGAATCAATCCGCAATTGTCCCAGGCACCCAGAATGCCACACCACTCACTGACTCCACAGCGACAACATCACGCCCGCAACACGTCGACGAGGCAAATTGCGGACTCAAGCTCTTCTCGCAGAAGCAACCGCAGCCAGAATATTGTGCGTGCGTGCGTGCTTTCACACCGCTTCACAACGTGTGACATGGCTTGTATGTATGCATGTGCTTGTGTGTTTGGCAACGCCTATAATTGCGGAGCAGCTGTGCGCCACAAGAGAGTCAGAAGAAAGCAACGGCAGAGAAGAGCGGATAGCACACACGCAAATTACTCATATCATCACACACACACGCAGCCCGCGGAATGGGTGCTCTCAACCACAAAACAATGAAAAACAAAACAAAAAGCCGAAGCGTGGGACGACCAGCGCACACACTCTCATTGCTCCCGTAAAGCAAAACACACACACAGGGAGAGAGAGAGAGAGGTCGCCCACTCAATGCAATAAAAACAAAACAGAAACAGTTACGGTGCTCCGCCCATGCAGCCAGGCAGGACGGCAGCGGTGCGTGTCGTGCAAAAGAGAGCACCAACGGGCATGCATGGGTGTGCATGCACTATATACAATGGGCACATTATGTGTGTGCCTTGTGGGATGAGGTGAGGGCGAGAGTCCATGCAAGAGGACACACACAGAGAGAGAAGGACAAGTGTGTGTGTGGGCGGTGCACGGCTCTCTCTCCCTCACTCTCACGCGGCCACCACCGCAGCCGCAGCCGCAACAACAACAAGAAGAAGAAGCAAAAGAGAGGAAGTGGTGTGGGAGACCGCGGTGCTGCTGTCACTGTCGCCAGTATTCACTGCTGTATTTTTCATGGCTGTGGCTTCGACTGGTGTTTCCTTTGGATTGGCATCTTTATTTTCATCCGGTTTTTTTTCTGCTGTGTTTGTGCCATCGGATGCTGGGTCACTGTTCGGGATGTCCTCTTTAGTGTTCTTGTCAGCTTCATTATTGGCGGCATCACCGTTTGCCGTGGGTGATGGTGGCCTTGATTCTGCCTTGTCGTATTGGACGCGTTGTAGCGGTTGCACGGGCGGTAAATCCTCAGTGCTGGACGGTCCATTCATTGTTGCTGGTGGTGGCGGTGGTGTTGCTGTTTGTATTCCTGCGTCGTTGGCTGGACTTCCACGTGTCTCTGTTGGTGCGTCATGAATTATTTTTCCTTTTCTTACTTCTTGTATTTCGTTTATCTGTTCTTTTAGCACCACTTCACGACTGTCAGATTTATTTATATGATCTTCTTCGTCTTCCGTCGGTGTCTCATCGGAGGATTCATCACTCTTGTTTTTCGTTTTCAAAGAGAGTCCTTTGGCACCCTCAGGGTCAAGACTACCAGAAGATGATGATGAAGAAGACTGATTAGTTCTTGGTTTTTCGAGATGAGTTTCACTTGTATTTTTTTTATTGTCGGTATGTTCTCCATCATTTGGACCCAAAACCCCTGGCTTTTCCTCCTGTCCTCCTGTACCTGATCCTCCAGGCGTCGGCGGTATTGCTGCTTCTGCTGGACCTGCAACATCTCTTCCTGGACCAGGCGCTGCACTGCCCTCCGTATCATTCTGCAATGGTTCCCCGGTATCCTGAGATGGGCCTGGACCACCACTCAATTCATCTTGTCCAGCATCCGAAGCTTCAACCGCCTTTATTAATGCCATTCGAGTGGCTAACAACCCGCAGTCCGCCTTTAGAGACACGCCGTCATCTCCACCATTACTCGTGTGCCTCAAACCGTTCCCTCCACCCTCACTGCAGTAATCGTCCATCGCGTGTCCAAAAACCGCACCGCACCACAGCACGCAGAGGGCACACACCAGAAGCACACGGCCAGTCATCATCATCGCCATCACTCCTGTCACTTGCGTGCAGCCTTCAGCAGAAAACAAATCCCCGTCAGCGCAATGCAAAAGCAAAAGGGAGAGTCACGGCCGCTACACCACACACAACCAGCCACGGCACAGTAACACATCGCAGCATCCCGGCGCGCACACCATGAGGCAAATAAAATCAGTGGGAGGGCAAAAAGCGCAGACACACACAGCCCCGCAGCAAGTAAACAGCAAGAAAAACACAAAAAAAAGTAAAAACAGAACAAGAGCAAACAAACAACAATAAATTTAACACAGTAAAAACAAGAAAGAAAAGAAGCTGTACCGAATGGCTCCAGTGCGCATGCACCCATCCTCAAATGTGTGTCCACATAAACAGTTGTCTCCGTGTTGTGCATATGAGTGTCGGATGCGTGCCAAGTGGCGGATACAGGAAGCAGCAACATGGAGCACACATCAGGGCAGCAGAAGCAAACAAAGCAAAACACAATCATTATTTTCTCTTATTATATACATCGGATCACAATAGTTGACGCGCACAAATCCCCGTGATTGAGTGCTGGCACGCACAGCCCGCACACACCTCTTCAGCCCAGAATGGTGTACGCCAGCGCGGATACGGCGAGCAGCAGCGGGGCACACACCCACGCGGAGCTGCTGAGGCTGCCGTCAATTTCGCGAAGACGTGACGGTGCGCGGGTGGTCTTCGTGGTTGACGCCTCTGTAGTCGTAGTACTTGGTGCCTTTGTTGTAGTCGTAGTAGTGTTTGTCTTGTTTGGCATTTTTCTCTTCTGATATCTGTGCCTTATGATCCTCATCGCCTTGTGTTTTTTACTGCGCCTTTTATTTTGTGCATCTGACATACCGGTCGCACCTTGTGCGTGTGTGAAGACTGAGTTGCCAAACCTGCTGGCTCTGGATTATCGCTAACCGAACGTAGTGTCTCTGGCGGAACTGGTGTCTGTCCAGTGATGGCTGTGCCTGCTTCCTTTGGAAAGAAGGTCCTGGACTTCACAAACCCTCCTCACTGTCTCTCCCACTCTCTGTCTGTGGCCCACCGGTCTCCCCACCATATGGCTGTAATGCACCAGGCATATTTTTTTAGGATCCGGTTTCCCCAGCTCAGGGCTGGGAGGACTGCTGTTATCATCATTATCGTCTCCTGTCGCCGTCATGCACACGGACGAGCAGCCGCAGCACAAGAGCGCAAGGAACAACAGGGCGCCGCACCGTCACCATCGCAGTCATCATCGCCCGTAGTGGAGTCGCTGGAGTCAGTCAGCTGATCGGTGAGACGGAATAAAAAAGAATGGAACGAGAGGGAGAGGGACGGAGCACAGCGGATACAGCGAGAGAGCGCAGACAACATGAGGAGAGGGCAGCAGGCCCAGCCGCACAGTTCACACACCACGAGACGGCATCCACGCAAGGAAGGCACACAACGCCAGCAGCCACCCACCATGCAGGAGGAGAAGACGTCCACCACCATCTCCCCCAGCTCATTCCCGCAGCCCCAGGGAAATGGCCAAAACCCCGCGCCCACCACACAACGCACACGGAGCAAGCGAACCCTCATCCATCCATGACGCGGCACAAAAATTCCTGCCATCCCGCCCTCAATGGGACACGGAGCCCAACTCAGCGCAGTCACACGCGGTGCATCACACCCACAGGAAAATAGACTCGGGGTGCGCGCTCCCTCTCTCCCTCTCTCCTCCTCATGGCCACGGAAGAAGACAACAGCCGCCACACGCAACTGCCAGCATGCACTACAAAAGGTGCATTCAAACCCACTGCAATGCGCATCGTGTGTGTGTGTGTGTGGTTGTGTGTGCCTGCAGAAACACGAAGCAAAGACGTGGAAAAGAGGGAGCAGAGTATGCGGAGAGACGCACAAAAATGTACAGCGGAGACGCATAACGGAAACAACAACAAGAAGACCGCTCAAACTCATGACTGCACTGCAGCCCAAGCAGTGGCAATTCACACAATATTCATTGAAAACAAAACACGTCCCCTTCCTCTTATATAAACCCCATCGCACAAAATAATTATAAATGAAAAAGAAATCGTCCATTACTGCTCCACACAAATTTTAAAGTAAAAAAAAGAGGGTCGCCTGGCAGCCGTGTGGCCACACCAAACCGTCTGTATGTATTTTGCCCACAAAAGAAATTTAAAAGAATGGTTACGTGTGGTTCAACCGTCTGACCCTCCATGTGTCCGCACATCATTTATATTTCATGGGGTCATCTGCGTGTTGCTGCTCCCCTCAGCCCTCTCAACGGCGTGTGAGTGCGGCCCGCAGAGCACAGTCACTCGTGTGTGTGTGGGGACTGAGAGGAGCACGCAGACATGACGGGAGTCGCGTCACTCCATCGGGAGAGTGAGCGCAGCAAAAGAAAAAGAAAAATCATCGGAGGGGAGAGAAATGCTCACGAGGCCGACACCGAAGGGTGCGCCACCGCATGAAATAAACACGCAAAGCAAAACAAATCCTTAAAGAAAAACACGGCGGCAGGGTGTGGCTGTGTGTGTGTGTGGCGCTGCGGGTGTCTGCCCGCCCTGGCCGCAAAGAAAACAAAACAAGAGGGAAAGAAATGTGTGCTCCGCCCCACAGGCCCTCGTCGCACGCCCACACGTCACGGCTCCCTCAGCGCGCCGTTCGTCGCGGCCCCTCCTCATGCGTGCAGCAGGCGAGGCGCACAGGGCCGTCGTCATGAGCGTGTCGGTGGGTGTGCGAGTGGAGCAGTTGGGCGGGAAAACACGGCACCCCTCACAGGAAGAGTGCAGCAACAAACAATTGAAAGAGGGAAGAGTAGAAAAGAAAAGAACGTCCATAGTGATTGCCCCAAAAAGCAAAAAGAGGGAATGAGGGAAATGAGAGAAATGAGAGAAAAGAAACAATAAAAAGTAAAAACAAAAACAAAACGCACAAAAAACAGGGAATAAAATAAATGCTATTTGAGAAGGGAAATAAATTATCACGTGTATTTTTTGTGCTCGGGAGGTCGCAAGTGTCCCACGCGGCAGCCAGTCACTCCTCACAGAGCCGAAAACACCCACAATCCCAACAGAAGAAGCAGCGATGGCAGCAGTCCGCTCCCACGCACAGTGCCGGCATCGCTGTTATTCCCCTGCGACACATTTCCGGGACTGCTGCTGAGTGCCGCAGCCCTTACTTCGCCGTCCTGTGCATGGATGTCCTCCCGTTTCTGCCCATCCGTTCCTCCCACCGTCTCCCCATTCTCACCAGAGCGCGCACCAACCTCAGTTGTATCTGCGGGGTCAACTTGAGCCACGTTCGTAGCGGTAGGAGCGTTTGGATCTGCTGTGTCGGGGGTATCCACAGGAGTTTGGGGTGGTGTGTCTCCCTGCACCGCACCTCCAGTTTCCGCTCCCACCGTTGGATCACCATCGGATGGAGAAGCGACATCCACATTTTTGTTTCCACCGGAAGATGTTCCTGAAGGCAGCTGAATTACGGATTGCTCTTTTCCTAAGGAAGTCGTTACAGTGGACGGTGCTGATGTGGACGTGCTGCCACCGCCCACACCCTCATTTCCATTCAACAATTTAGGCCCCGACGGCGGTTGCCCGGCAGGAGAGGACTGCGACAGGGTTCCTTGGGCATTGTCAGATACCACAGGTGGAATGAGGACTTTATTCGGGTTGAGGGCGCCAATCTCCGCAGTACTCAACGGGCGGTTGTACAGCAGGACGTTCGTCACGGTCACAGACACGTCTTGGACCTCTGTGCCGCCTGCACTGCGTTCGCCCCCTCCAATGTAGAAGTGGGAGACCGCTCTTGAATCCTTATTCTCCAATTCACATGCTTCATTCTCACCCACACGCTCACCATCAACGTACACGGAGCCCTGGTTGCTGTTCCGTAGCAAAATTACCACCTGATTTGTTGTATCTTTCTCCCAAGTGCTGCTGTGCTCCTTGATCGGCCCGCCACCGCACGACAACTCCCACTTACCTCCGCTGTTGTACGACAGTCCCAGGAGTACAGTCTTCCCGCTGTCATCCATCTTCGCACCCATCAAAGGAATGCGGGTATCTCCCTCTTGCGGCGCACCGTCGATGGACACCGTCGCCACAAGAGTGAAGTTGTAGTTCGCAAAGTGGTACAGCTGATTCTCCCCCTGACTGCCAACGGGCCACTCCGCCCACGCTCCCTGGAACTTCACACCATCGGAAGTCTTTGTTGCCTTCTTACCCCCATCATCATTGTTCTTCACTGTGGCGTTAACCCCGAGGTACTCGTCCCTCCATGTGCTATCAGAGAAGTTGCCGGACAAAAATCCAACCAGCCCATCCGTGATCTTAACAGTAGGGCTGCAGGCATTTTCAGGTGGGGTACTTTCCACAGCACTTTTAGAAGGACACAGCTTGGAGACAAGGCCGTCCACTTTCTTCCACGTCGCCAGCACCTCCTTCACACGCTGCAGCTGCTCAGTCAGAACCACAGACCAAAGACTGTGTGATGGTTTCCCATCCTCCTTCTTCTTCTCGTAAAGTACAATAAGCTCATCCTTCTTATCTCCACTTCCAGCACCTTTGTACAACAGGGAGCTGGTGGCAACGTCCTTGTCTTCACCGGATACCGGCCCAATATCAGCAATGTGCGTATTGTCCGTCAGCCAAAGATGGAGTTCACCCTTTCCGTTTTCTTTTTTACTTTCCTCCTCGGAATACACCGGCAGAGTGACAAGCATCACATTTCTGTTATCATCAACACCGTCAATCGTCGCTGTGATGAACCCGCTTCTAACGCCACCTTCACCCTTTTTGTTGCCCCACACGCGCGAGAGTGTCCCGAGTGCCTCCGTCCACGACTCCCCCTTGTCACCGGTCTCGTACACCCTGCGGCGGCCATCATCACACGCAGTCATCATGATGAGTTTTTTGTCCTTCCACTCCACGACGGAGGGATCACTGCAGCCACCGTCAGACATCCCCTTCGATAGCGTCCAACTCTTAGTGCTACTCGAGGAGGATATGATTAGTGA